TCAACCGACTGAGCCACCCAGGCGCCCCGATAAATAAAATCTTTTTAAAAAAGAATTTGTTAAGAGGGTAGATCTCATGTTAAATGTTCTCCCTACAATAAAAGAAAAATTTTTTAAAGATTTTACTTATTTATTTGACAGAGAGAGCACAAGCAAGGGGAGGGGCAGAGGGAGAAGCAGGCTCCCCGCTGAGCAGGGAGACCGATGTGGGACTCGATCCCAGGACCCCAGGATCATGACCTGAGCTGAAGGCAGCCGCTTAACCGACTGAGCCACCCAGGCGCCCCAGAAATTTTTTTGATACACACTCATCCAGATAACTAGAAAAAAATATATTTATGTGTATATATGTGTACATATAATTTCCACCTAATGAAAACACCAAACTTTCACGTTCTTGTAGCAAACAACACACTCCAAGAATACATCATTTTGTAGGCCCAGCTTGAGCCATGCTGTCCTAAACGGTTAATGACCTCTCTCTTACTTCCTTCTCCGGAGCGTGCTTGTCATTTTGTAATACATTTCTTTGTTTTCTCATCTCTTTCCTACTTGTCTGGGAGCCTCTTAAGGTCAGCAACTGCTCTTCTCTATTTCCTTACAGATAAATCTAATGACTTAACACTGGATAAAATGTTCTATAAATACTGGTTGCTTTGAATGAAGCTCTAGATAAAACTCATCACACTTTGAAGGAGGCCCATCAGTATGACAAATTTGAAATTATCTTCACTTGCAATTTGCACAAACACAGAAAAGGAAAATCCATTAAAAAGGACTCAAAGTCTTTAAGAACTTGACTTTGATGGCCGGCAAAGAAGACCAAGGAAAGCATGCTGTTCCCCTTGACAGGTATTTCTTATTTATCCTTCCTATCAGAACTCATAGATTTTGTTTATCCTTCCTGTTCAATCAGCACCAAGAGGTGTAATGGTTGTGAAAGGTCCCTAATGTCTTTGGCACCCTCCTTCCAGCCTCCTATTTTAGGGCAGAACCGATGAGCTCATTTACAGAAAGGCTTGCCAGGCTCTGCATATGGTTTGTAATATAAATAGATCACATCTTAGGCATATCAGCAAGATAGAGGAGGCTTGCCCTCCCCAAAGTCTGCTGAAGTAGAAATTCTCACCTAAAAAAGTATGCAAGCCACCTCTACTTTCTACTTCTCAGGGAATTTAAGGATGTGTTGTGTGAAAATTTCAATCTTTGGCAAACTTAGATGAGTCTTGGACCATCCAAAAATAGAATATTCCAAAACTAAAGACTAAATGGTAATCCTGTTTAATTTCAGACTTTCACCTATCATTGGGCTTCATGACTACACATTTATTAAGATCAATTTAGGTTCACAATCTGGGGGTTATAACCTATTGCATTAGCCTAAACATACAGTGATTTGATTCCACATTATCACTTATAAATAAAACCTGATAATTTGATTTACTCATGATATGACTCTCTATTAAAAAAAAAATGAATCTACAAGGTAAAGTTGACAACAAAACCAAATGATCCAGAGCTATTCAATAGTCACAAACAGGGGGGCTTTGTAATTTATTTTAACATATAATTATTTGGGGTTTTTTTAAGATTTTATTTATTTATTTGAGAGAGCGTGAGTGAGAGAGAGCATGAGAGAGAGGGTCAGAGGGAGAAGCAGACTCCCCGCTGAGCAGGGAGCCCAATGTGGGTACTCGATCCTGGGACTCCAGGATCATGACCCAAGCCGAAGGCAGTCGCCCACTGAGCCACCCAGGCGCCCTAATTATTTGTTTTTAATGCTTTTTTATTTGAAATAGTTTTAAGACTCACAAGAAGTTGCAAAAATAATAGAGTTCTCTGTACCTCCACCCAGCTTCCCCAAATGAGAACATCTTACATAACTATTGTGCACTGTCAAAACCAGAAATTGACATTGATAGAATATTACCAACTCGGCTAATAATCTCATTTGGATTTCACTATTTTGCTATACTTTTTTGGGGGTGGGTGTTCAGGATCTAGTTCTATGGAATTTCATTACATGTCTAAACATGGAATGTTTATTACATGTTTACATAAATGTAATAAATGTGTAACCACCACTGCAAGCAGGATATACATTGTTATTCTTTTAAAACATTTATGGAGGCCCAACTAGGCACTAGGCACTGTTAGGCAGTTTTACATAATAACCTCATGAGGTAAACTTACTATCCTCATTTTGGAGTGAGAAGACAAATATAAAAAGGGGAAAGCATACATCGTCCCTTCTTCCGTCCTTTACTATCAGGCATGTGACTAAGAGGAACTCTTGTCTAATGACATCAATTTCAACATGAGGGATTGATTTTCTTAATCTTTATATTGGGGCTTCATTAAGTCATAGCTCTTCAATTTTCAAATGTATAAAGAGAAAGTTCACACAAATTCAAGTTCACATCTCTTGATTTTTTTTTTTACTACTGTTAGACATGAAGCAAGTGAAGAGATCACAAAACAAAGAGGATCCATCCTGCAGCTCAGGATGGCAAATGCCCCAGGTCTTAAGTCCCTTTTGCTTTCCCTCAAAACCATAGCAACTCTATTTCTGTTCTTGCTTTTCTCCTGCACCCAGACAATAACATTTTTATCCTCTGAGGATTATTTCTAAAAATAAAATGGAAAAGAAGAAACATGGAACAGTCTCTATCTTTGGTTTGTAAATGTTACTTTTAACCTGCTATCTAGTTTAGTTCCCTACTAGAAAACACTCTGTCCAATGCACTGTCTTCAGGTGCCATGCAGTTAGAAAATGTATGACCTAATGCTTCATGTGCCCTTGTCCCCCTACCACTGGGGGTCCCATGAAGGAAACGCGGTGGAGCTCACTGGGGCTCAGCCCTGAGCTATGGGCCATTACTTCTTGTCTGACCTCCACCTCTGCCTTTCCTTTTACACCCAGTCCAGCCTAAACAGTTGGGACCTCACAGTTGAGTTTGTCTCCTACTTCACTGGCCACTCCTCTCAGTCCCTTTCCCCATTTCCTCGTCCTCTTTCTGACCTCCAAAGTTGCAGTCCCTGGGGACCATCCTCAGCCTTTTACCTAAGACAGCGATTCCCCCTCAACCAAGGGTGATTTTCACTCCAGGGGACATGTGGCAGTGTCTGGAGCCATTAGGGTTGTCACAACTGGGGATGGGGTGAGTAGAGGCCAGGGATGCTGCTAAACACCCTGTGATGTCCACTGTAGGATGCAACGGCCCCCCGACAAAGAATTATCCCTCCCCAGATGTTAATAGTGCCACGGTTATGAAATCTTGCCCTACAAGATCTTATTCAATGCTATGATACACCCAGATTCGGTCTACAAGCTGAGCACTTCTGAGTTGAATCTCTAGTCCGGCCTTCCCCTGCCGACTCCAGGTTCTCATATGCAACCGTCTTCATTTATGTCTATTAGGTGCCTCAAACTTAACTTGTCCACAACCAAACTCTTGCTGTACCCACAAACCTGCTTCTCCCCCAGCCTTCCCCATGTTAATGATGACATCTTCCAAGTAATCGTCTTAGATTTAAATTCCAATTTTATGGAAATCATTCCGTGCAGGCATACTATGAGTAGAATCAAAGAACAGCAGAGCTGTTAGGGATCTATCTAATTCAGGAGATGAGGTGAGCAAGACCCAGAAGTTCCTGAGATGTACCCAAGTCTATACATTAAGTTTGATGGTACGGCCAGAATGAGGATTATTGTTCCCTACAGCTTCTGTGTCCTAAAGGTTGTGAGAACTTTTCCTGTAGATGACTTGACTCTCTTAGGTAAAATATGCAGCTCAGTTGCTTTCACTTGTTTTCGTAAGTCACTGTGAGATAGATGGTTTCTTGGAGGGCACGGGTCAGCAAACTACAGCCTGTGGGCCAAACCTGGACTGCCACCTGTTTTTGCATGGCCCATGAGCAGAATGATTTTACCATTTTTTAAATAGTTTGGGGGGAAAATTCCAAAGAACGATGATAACACACGATATATGAAAATTATCTAGGGACACCTGGGTGGCTCAGTCGGTTAGGAGTCTGCCTTCAGCTCAGGCCACGATCCCAGGGTCCTGGGATCGAGCCCCGCATCGCATCGGGGAGCCTGCTTCTCCCTCTGCCTGCCTGCCTCTCTCTCTCTGACAAGTAAATAAATAAAATCTTAAAAAAAAGAAAACTATGTTAAAAACAAATTTTAGTGTGTGTACTGATAAGAGCTCAGAGTTTAGAGTTTAGAAAAAATAACAGCTTTCAACTTTGTCTCGGCTGACAGTATGATCTTTGAATATGATTCAACATCTGTGAGCCTCAAGTTAAATGAGGACAATAATACTTTCCTTGAAGGATTGTTAGGAGTATTAGAAGTAATGCCTGTAAAGGTTTGGAATATAGCTGGAACTCTACAAATACAATAATAATAATACTTATTAATATTATTATTATTAACACAAACTTTACCGCTCAAAATTTCCCCTTTAATATGCTTTGAGAATTCCTATGTCAAATGCCTTTTTCTGAAATCCAAGCAAATACACAACTTTAAACGACTGTCCCAGTCCCTTTCATCCATTAGTTGGGTGATGACAGAACAAGTTCTCATCACATCATGTTTTGACAGCGAACTGGAGGAAGGCTAATATCTTAATAATTCAAATGTCATTGTACCCAGTCATGAATTCCCGGAGTAATTGGTTTCCTGGAAAATGGTCTCCTGAGTGATAAAGGTGACCCACTATCTGAAACAGGAAATTATCATGACCTGCCCAATCCTCTTTCCAACTTTGTCATCCCAAGAATGTCACAATATAAGTTAACAGAAAATGGGGGAACTGACACTGAGTAAACAGCATGTAGAAATAGTCTCTGAGCTACCACAACCCCATCTTCCACACTTCCTGCAGGCCCCTTGGAGTGGCCATAGAAGCAGAGAATGGCCTTGATTTGTGACTGGCATCCCCGCAGGCTTCCAGGGGTAAGAGATGGGAGCATGCATGCCTGACACTCACCTTGCCCGTAGCCTCCACTGGGGCCTTGACCTCAGCCCTGGCCACCTCCAGTCCTTCAGAAGATTCTGCCATCCCTGGTGACTTCGCGGCCTCAGGCTTGTCTCCTGGCTTACAGCTCATTCCTGGAGTGGAAAAGAGGTCAACTCTAGCTCTTTTTCTTTGTGTGACCCCATCCTTTTGCCCTCTTGTATCCTGCCATTTTCTCCTGCTCTCTAAGGTAGTTTCGGCTAGATAGAGTGTCACTTCCAGCCTCCTTAGACTTCCTCTTCCTGCTGAACTCCCCTTTCTATGGTACTTTCTGGGATGATCCACATCTCTCACGAGTGACAGGATGTCATCTTGCTAATTAACATATGGCCTAATTATGGCTGTGTTACACTTTAGAGACAGAATCAAAGCCTGAAGTGACCTAAGTAATCAGGAGGGGCAGAGACAAATGAAAGCAGCAGCAGCAAAGTGGGGGGAGCCACTGACTTGGCCACGTCCCGTGAGGCTGCAAACAACTGGCCATGACTCAGGTGCATGGGCACCTTGGGATCAGCTCCAAGCAGGCTGCCGCCGGGAAAAGGGAGCATCCTACGTAGAACAAGATGGGATTTTCTTTCTTCCTCCTCTCTTCCTCCTCTCCTCCATCATCCCTGATGCAGAGGTGGTACTCAACAAGACAGAATGTCTGAACCAGAAAAAGCCATGCCCACAAGGTTGAATTTTCGAATAGTGCTGCAGAAGAGACAGGACAGACGGGGCGGGAAGGACGTGACAGTGTAACCGTTGTGCTGAGGTTGACACCGCTAGTAAGTGGTCCCTGCTCTGCTAGTCAGTTTGCCCTGGAATTAGGACAAACAAGGACATGATGTGTGCATTGGTTGGGTTCCCCCAGAACTCCGCTTTGGGTCAAGAATGTGAGTACAAGTCATCTATTTGGGATAGCTAGGAAACACTGGCAGGGAGTGAAAAACATGAGACAGGGGAGGGAAAGAAATCAATAGAAGGTATGTTAGCAAGCAAGTTAGCACTGTAGAGCTCAACCCTGCTGGGGAACTCAGGGAGACAGAGTACAACGGCACTTGGCCCAACTTCCCTGTAAGGGCAAAGAGTGAATATTTCAGGCTCTGGGAGCCACACAGCGTCTGTCGCAATGGCTCAATTCTGTCACTGTAGAGAAAAAGCAGCCATGGATAATACATAAACGAATGCACATGGCTGTGTTCCAATAAAACATTATTTACAAAACCAGGCAGCCAGCCCAAGAGCTGTAGTTTGTCAACCCCTTGCTGGAGAATAGTGTTTCTTAAACTCCCATGATGAACCAATTCTTAAAAAGTGCCCAATCCACTGCAAAACAAGACTTTTGTAAAAACAACAAAAATGAGTCACTAGAAAAATGAAATTTAAAAAAGACATACAAAAAATTCACTTTTTAATATTTTTTTAAGATTTTATTTATTTGACATAGAGCGAGAGAGCACAAGCAGGGGGAGCGGCAGGCAGAGGGAGAGGGAGAAGCAGGCTCCCCGCTGAGCAGGGAGCCTCATGCAGGGCTCGATCCCAGGACCCTGGGATCCTGATCTGAGCCCAAGGCAGATGCTCAACTGACTGAGCCACCTAGGCATCCCCACGTTTTGGGGTTTTTTTAATTATTAGAATCAAAAGACACGCTGTCTCTGTCCAATTACCAGAAGAGCTTCTAAATGCTTACTGTGAAGTTCTGCACCTAACATCACAGACAGCTTGGGCCCCTGACTTCAGCCATGGCCGTCACCACTATCCACAGCCCCACTGCCTTTCTTATCAGGTGAGGAGGCTGGAACAGTTATCCACTGACACCCGCCCAGCATTATCAAGAGCTGCTCCCCAGGATATGGACTCCCAGTCTTTCTAGCCTACCCAGCATACAGGCCAAGCACATCTCTGCAGTCTGAGAAGGTGGAGGAGCACGGGGCTCCTGAGAGGAAGCTGTAGGCATGTGTACAATGTATGGGAAGAGTGAGAACCAAGAGGTTGTAGACAGGGCACTGTCGGTGTTGCTCCACTGTGATGAGAGTAGAAAGGCTGCGGGTTTTGGAGGCAAAGAAATTGAGATGAAAGTCCTGGTTCTGCCACATAACCTCTGTCTCTCCATTTCCTTATTCTAAAAATGAGTATAGTATGGTAAGGGCTGGCTTGAGTTTTGGGGATTCTCTTCAAAAATTTTTTTTAGAGCAGTTTGAGGTTCACAGCAAAATTGAGAGGAAGGTACAAAGATTTCCCTTATATCCTCTGCCCCATATATGCATAGCCTCCCTCGTTATTAACACCCCACCAGAGTGGGACATGTGTTACAAATGATGAACCTACACTGACACATCATCATCACCAAAGTCCATAGTTTACCTTAGGATTCACTCTTGGTATTGTACGTTCTATTGTTTTTCACAAATGTATAATGATTTGTATCCATTATAGTATCATGAAGAGTATTTCCACTATCTTAAAAATCCTCTGTGCTCTGCCTACTCGTTCCCTACCCACTCCGCCCCACTGCTTGGCAAACACTGATCTTTCTACTGTCTCTATAGTTTTGCCTTTTCCAGAATGTCATATAGTTGGTCATACAGTATGTACCCTGTTCAGATTGGTTTCTTTCACTTAGTAGTATGCATTGAAGGTTCCTCCATGGCTTTTTATGGCTTGATAGCTCTTTTCTTTTCAGCGCTGAATAATATTCTATTGTCTGGATGGACAACTGTTTATTCATTCACCCATTGAAAGACATCTTAGTTGCTTCCAAGTTTTAGCAACTATGAATAAAGCTGCTATAAACATGTGTGTGCAGGTTTTTGTGTGGACAGAAGTTGTCAACTCCACTGGGTAAATACCAAGGAATTCAATTGCTGAATCATAAGAGTATATTTAATTTTATAAGAAACTGCCAAACTGTCTTCCAAAGTAGCTATACCATTTTACATTCCTACCAGCAATGAATGAGAGAGTTCCTGTTGCTCCACATCCTTGCCAGCATTTGGTGTTGTCACTGTTCCAGATTTTGGCCAAATAGGTGTGTAGTGGGAACTCGTTGTTCTCTGAATTTGTATTTCCCTGATGACATATGATACAGGGCACCTTTTATATGTTTAGTTCACCATCTGTATACATTCTTCAGTGGTGTGTCTGTTAAAGTCTTTGGCCCATTTTTTAATCGGGTTGTTTGTTTTCTTACTATTGAGTTTTAAGAGTTCTTTGTATATTTTGGATAGCAGTCCTTTATCAGATATGCCTTTTGCAAATATTTTCTCATTCTGGGTTGAATCTTAAATGGCATGACAAGCCCTAGCATAAGTGGAACATTTGGGCATATTAACAAGAGCTCAGTAATAACTCCTTCCCCAGAAAATTCCAAAATTACATAAAAAGTTAAAGCTAAGGGACACCTGGGTGGCTCAGTGGGTCAAGCGTCTGCCTCCAGATCAGGTCATGATCCCAGGGTCCTGGGATTGAGTCCCACATTGGGCTCCTTGTTCAGCAGGGAGCCTGTTTGTCCCTCTGCCTGCCACTCCCCCTGCTTGTGCTCTCTCTCTCTGACAAATAAATAAAATCTTTAAAAAAAGATTTTATTTATTTGTTTGACAGAGAGAGACACAGCAAGAGAGGGAACACAAGCAGGGGGAGTTGGAGAGGGAGAAGCAGGCTTCCCGCCAAGCAGGGAGCCCGAAGCGGGGCTCGATCCCAGGACCCCGGGACCATGACCTGAGCTGAAGGCAGATACTCAACCGAATGAGCCACACAGGCGCCCCACAAATAATATCTTAAAAAAAAAAAAAGGGCGCCTGGGTGGCTCAGATGGTTAAGCGTCTGCCTTCGGCTCAGGTCACGATCCCAGGGTCCTGGGATCGAGTCCCGCATCCGGCTCTCTGCTCCTTGGGATCCTGCTTCTCCCTCTGCCTCTCTCTCTCTCTCTCTGTCTCTCATGAATAAATAAATAAAATCTTTAAAAAAAAAAAAAAAAAAGAGGTAAAAGGTACCCAATGGATCATCTCCAGGAATCTCTATTTTTCTCCCTTATCCTCCATTTTACATCATTCAATTCTACTCACTCACCCAGGTTAAGTGTGGTAAAGGTGGCAAGGATGAATCATAAAAGGAGATGGGGCTGCAGCAGGAGCCTGGGAGAATGAATGGGATTTTAATAAGACAGAAAGAGGGAGGAGGAAGTCAAAATAGTAAATGTTTATTAAGCACCTATTACATTCTAGGCTTCACAGGGTATACATGTAAGAATAATGAACTGTTCTTATTTTTAAAGAATTTATAGTTTGATGAGGGTAGATAAAAGAAGTCATAAGATGATTAATGATATTCATTGATTGCCTACTAAGTCACAGGGATCTTGCTAGATCCTTTGTATACATTAGCTATAATCCACTTGACAACCATGCAGGAAGACACTGTTAACTTCATTCTAAAGAAGAAACTGATGCTCAAAGAGGATGAGTGACTCATTCCAGGCCATACAGCTAGTGAGAAACAAAACTGAGATTCAAACCCAGGGCTGTCTGATTCTAACACTCACACTCTTCATATACCAAGCTGCTGAGGAAAAGCTTGTAAGACAAATCACACATAATTTCACTGTGAAAACTGCAACCTGGACTGGGAAAAGATTACACAAAGACTTAAAGTGGGAAACAATCGATAGGGTAGATATGAAAGAAATGGCCTAAATATAATTTAAGTTTGTGAAAAATGGAAATAGGAAAAGTGGGATCACAAGATTGAGGGCTTTGACTGCAAGTCTATGGGTTTTGAAGGAGTTTGCCAAGGCAATGGACACTAGAAACTCTCAATAGGATTTTTTTTTTAAGATTTATTTATTTATTTGTCAGAGAGAATACAAGCAGGGGGAGCGGCAGGCAGAGGGAGAAGCAGGCTTCCCACTGAGCAGGGAGCCCGATGCAGGACTCCATCCCAGGATCCTGGGATCATGACCTTAGCTGAGGCAGACGCTTAACCGACTGAGCCACCCAGGAATCCCTCAATAAGATTTTTATAGGAGCTAGAAACAATAAATTAAGATTCATCTGAAAAAATCAATTGAAAATTAAATGAGGGGCGCCTGGGTGGCTCAGTCGGTGGTTGAGCATCTGACTCTTGATTCTGGCTCAGGTCGTGATCTCAGGGTTGCAAGATCGAGCCCTGCGGCGGGCTCCACTCTCAGCGGAGAGTCTCCTTGAGATTCTCTCCTTCTCCCTTTGCTCCCCCCATGCACTTGCAGTCTTTCTCTAAAATCAATCAATCAATCAATCTTTAAAAAATATTTCATGTGGACATAAGAGATTTTTTCCTTAAAATTAAAGAAAGAAAAACTGAAAGAAATTAAAAGTCCAAATGTAATTCTGATAGAATATCCTTAGAAAATAATGAAACATGAAAAAAGGAAATGCAGAAAGCAGTTCACACATCTGATGTTCAAACGAAGGTATGATTAAGTAATGACCGTACTTCAGCTCCACAGAATAATATATGGCCATTCAAATAATTATAAAAACTTTAGCAACACAGAAAAATATTTAGGCATGATATAACTATGAGAAATATGGTATATTACTTTTCTATTTCTGCTGTAACACATTACCACAAACTTAGCTGCTTAAAATAATGCACATTTATTATCTTACAATTTTGGAGCTCAGAAGTTCAACACAGGTCTTACTGAGCTAAAATCAAGCTGTCAGCTGGGCAGCATTCTTTTCTGGAGGCTGTACAAGAAAATCCATTTCCTTTTTACAACGTCTAGAGGGCGCCCACACCCCTTGGCCCTTGGCCCTACCCTCTGTCTTCAAAGTCCACCAAGGCTCATTGAGTCGTTCTCACATCACTCTGACTTACCTCCAGTCACATTTCCCTCAGAGTCTTCTGCTTCTCTCTTCCACTTTTAAGGACTCTTGTGATTACATTGGGCCCACCCAGATAATCCAGGGTAACCTCCATATTGAAGGTCAGCAATAAGCCAACTTCATTCCTTCCGCAGTGTTAATTTCCAAATTCTTATACAACCTAACAAATTACCAGACTCAAGGAATTAGGACACGAACATCTCTGAGAGTCCATTCTTCTGCCTATCACATATGGTTTCCAAGAGATAGAAAAATTTATATAAAAATGTAACTATATAATAGGGCAGTGGGACAGTGGGTAAATATTTGCTATTCTATTTTCCTAACCCTTTGCATTGTTATATTACTTCTATAAATCTTTTGCAGACAAAAGAGTGGTGGCTGATGGGGGCAAAATATGAGAAAGTTCTGCTCAATTTCAGCCTATTCGATGCTCTGCTAGCACATTATGATCTATTTCACTGCCGCTGTCCTTGCTTTCTTTCTGAACATTTTTAGATTCCTCTCAGTCCAGGACCAATAGGTGCAGCCCTGACCCATCGAGCTGGTCAGCAATTCTTGCCAAATAACCTCCAACCATACCCAGCACATGCACTTGATCACCATTCATTTTTCTAGACCTTTAAATATATATCTGGAGCCTTCCTATAAAAGTGCTCAACAGGGGTGGTGCTTTGGCCTTCCACATATTTGCTAGAGGATGCTGAAGGAAAAGAGCTCGCCAATGTGGGAGTTGAGAGAAGTGAGCAGGAAACAAGGAAGCAGGAAGGTAAGCAGATGTTCAGGCATTCACCTTCTTTATATTTTTCAGAACTAATATTCCAGAGTAGGGCCAAGTAGTATTTCAATTCAGGGAGTATTCAAAACCAGGCAAGTCACACGGAGGCAGGGGACAGCATAGAGCAGGTCACTGACTGGCAGGTACCAACCACAAAGTCAAGGCTCAGGGGGAGACAGCTCTAAAGGCTGCCATCACCTCCGACAAGACCGGAACAAGAAAAACAACTTCTCGGGGCTATCCAACCCTTGCTATTCAGTTTGTGGCCTGTGGGCCATGGTGCACTCATCACCTGGCACCATGTTAAAATGCGGATTCTGACAGAGAAGGTCTGCTGTGGGCCTGAGAATCTGTGAGAGTCCACACTATTAACAAACGACCAGGTGATGCTGATGCTGCGGGCCCATGGACCACAATCTGAGCGGCAAGGGTCACCTGGGAACTTGCAAGAACTACAAATATCCATGTCCCATCTCTGACCTACAGAATCAGGAACACCCTGAGGCTTCTTGGTTTTTTGTTTTGGTGACCAGAAACTTTAATTCCCCAAAATGGGAATTCTTAATTATTTACCTACAGGGTTTATAAGTCCTTTTGTAAGGAAAAACAAACAAACAAACAAAACTGATATGTCTCTACAATATAATTTGAGCACTAAATATACATTATGCTTGATACCCAAGTACAAAACATAAAAGGCCTTCCTCAGCTGTGGCTGATCTTCATAAATGGCACAGCCATTAGTCTGAAGACTATGGCAGGTCTTTTATGTGTATATGTGGTTTCCATGAAGGGATCCTGGTAAAAGATACCTTGCTTAGAAAGAAATCCGAGCTTTAGCTACCCAGAGGATGCTTTTACTCTGAAAGGGCAGCTGCGGTCCTCCAAGCTTTCTGGCATGCTCGCTTAGAACAGCGGTGGGCTGCAGGTGCCGTCATCCAGCTGAGTGGCAGGAACATCACTGCACCAGCCTGCAGATGCAGAGAGGGAGGAGAAATACAGGGTGCCAGGCTTAGGAGGGAAACAGGTGAAATAGGGAAAATTACCCTAGTGCACACAACCTTCTCTCCTGAGGAGTGTGATCAACGCAAAGATCATATCTGAAGCTACAGGAATTTCTTGCTTGTTTATGTTCCTTTAATATTTGCTTACATCTCAATATTTACCACAAACATGGTCACAAAATTGGTATGTAGGTATCTGTCTCATCCCTTGGACTCTGAGAACCCACATCCTCCGAATCTTGTACGTGGGCACTCTCCATATGTATGCCAACCCATAAGACAGGTGTTAATAACATTAATTTACACAGGCAAACATGTTTTGGGTTAACTTTTCAAAAGATCTTAACAACTGGGTATATAAGTGCCCTCTCACTGAAATGATATTAATTTTTTTGTCTTTGCATATACTATTTTCTCTGCTGAAACAAACAGGGGGAAAAAACAGAAGTATTAAAAATTTACTAAGAGAAAAATATGCCTCTCTGGATTAGTTTAGCCAAGACGGAAAACCCTTCGTAACATTGCATGTTAATCTGTATTAATGTAAATCATAAATTATAAGTTGCATTTGAGCTAATTTGCATTATTCTGACCAAGTCAGAAAGCTAGGATTCAGTTATCTGAAGCAAAATCATGGTTTTGGTGTTTGGGAGTTTGAGAAGTCTATTTTTACATCCAACAGAGCTAACTGTTGAATATTAAATCTGTCCTAAACAATACCTCTGTAGAGAATTATTGATTTAAAATACAATAAAATCGGGGCACCTGGGTGGCTCAGTTGGTTAAGCGTCGGCTTTCAGCTCAGGTCATGATCCCGGGATCCTAGGATGGAGCCCCTCATTGGGCTCCCTGCTCAGTGAGGGGCCTGCTTCTCCCTCTCCCTTTGCTGCTCCCCCTGCTTGTGCTTTCTCTCACTCTCTCTCCTGCTGTCAAATAAATAAATAAAATCTTTAAAAAAATTAAGTACAGTAAAATGTGTTGAAAATTCTATGGGGCGCCTGGCTGGCTCAGTCGGTGGAGTGTGCGCCTCTTGATCTCAGGGTTGTGGGTTCAGCCCCATGTTGTGTGTAGAGATTACTTAAAAAAATAAAATCTTTTAAAAAATCTATTGAAACGGGGCGCCTGGGTGGCTCAGTTGGTTAAGCGACTGCCTTCGGCTCAGGTCATGATCCTGGAGTCCCGGGATCGAGTCCCGCATCGGGCTCCCTGCTCGGCAGGGAGTCTGCTTCTCCCTCTGACCCTCCCCCCTCTCATGTGCTCTCTCTCATTCTCTCTCTCAAATAAATAAATAAAACCTTTAAAGAAAAAAACAAAATCTATTAAAACGCTTAACAACTTTAAACTACAAAACTTGTCCCTAAGGTACATCTAATATACATAAATCAGATAATTAACATTTCTTAGTAACAGAGTTAATAACATCACCAAGTGTTTGAATTTGAGGCACGGGAGTTAAAAACAAGGGGAAAGACTCCATCATCTTATGGGGCAATGACCGTGTAAGACTTTTAATCTGACTAAAAGTGATCAGATTATTTATATTTTGATAGATAGCCACAGGTGTCAACAGCTCAGTTAAGCTGGGGAACACCAACGTGGCCCTGAGAAAATGCATCAGGGGCCTGCGCTCGTACCCGCCTTGTTCTTCCCTACTCCTTCTCCCCCAGCTCAGGAAATGGTAACTCTTCTGTGGTTTAGGACAAAAACCATGCAGTGATAGCTGATGCTTCCCTTTCTCTCACATCCAAACCTTGAGAAAATTCGGTGAGGTCTGTCTTCAGAATATATCCAGAATGTTCTCCCCAGCTTCCTTGCTATCACTCGTGATTTCCAGCTTGGATTATTACAATATTTAATCCTAAAGTGTTCCTCCATCTACCCATCCAACAACTACTCATCAACAACCACTTAAACCAGACATTCGGTACTTAAGTACACAGAGATTGCCCTGTTGGCTTCTACAAAAGGAATATCTCTTAGCCATCCTGAATCTTCCTACACTGTCTTGTTCTAGGACACAACTGCCACAGCACTAAACAGTCAATACCGAGAAAATGAATGACTAGGTAAGGAGTCATTTTTCAAGTTGGGATTTCAGTACTTCACTTCTAAAGCAGACTAAACTGGAGCATGTAACAGATACGTCATTAACAGTATTCTACTCGATCACTCTCACTAAATGATTTTTGGCACAGAACTCAGAAGGAATAGAAAGAATTGAATGACATTACTATATTAACATTCTTTTTATTCCTCTCAATTTAAATGAACAAGATGTTTTGGCTTTACATCTCTAAAAACAAGAGAGAGAAAGAACTCTGTCACGTTCTAGCAATGAATAATATCCATCCATGGAAACCTAAGCTAAATGATAAAAAGCCCAATCTCATTAAGAAATACATTTAATAGGGGCGCCTGGGTGGCTCAGTCGTTAAGCGTCTGCCTTCGGCTCAGGTCATGATCCCAGGGTCCTGGGATCGAGTCCCAAGTCGGGCTCCCTGCTCAGCTGGAAGCCTGCTTCTCCCTCTCCCACTCCCCCTGCTTGTGTTCCCTCTCTCGCTGTGTCTCTCTCTGTCAAATAAATAAATAAAATCTTTAAAATAAATATTTAAAATGCATTTAATAAAATATTACTTTGATAATTATTCAAAATTGTGATATTTATGATCAGCTATGTACTAATAATAGTTGTACAGGTTTCCCTCACTATCTGAAAGTAGAGCATTCCTATGAAAACTTTTGTAAGCCAAAATGGCGTAAAGTGAAGAAGCAATTATCATTAATTTACGTTGAAAATTTTTTGAGTGTTCCCAGACCCAAAAAACCCACCTCTCTTAGGCTTTTCTGATACCTTAGAACATATCTCGCCAATAGATGCACAAAATAGATGAAGATACACCACAGATGCTGACAGATAACAGTTCAAAAGCTATGGGCTACTAGATGCTGATGCTGGGTGTAATTCCCGTGGAAGGGGCTTGGTGGCGCCACTCTCGCTCAGGGTGCACCGGGCTTGCTGCAAAAAGCTGAACGCTATTTTTGCTTTTCACCTTTTTTGTAAAAGCGAAAATTCTCTACGGGTTTTTTCAGTTAGCAAAACTAGTACTAATGTAAGTCTTTCGAAAAGCAAAGTGACATAATGTAAACTTTCAAAAAGCAGACGATACCTGTAATGATTTTTAAAAAAATGTTTCTCTGGATTGACTTAACATTTAGAACCTTATGATCACAAGATACTCAATAAATTTAAATATACACACATTTTTGCTGCAGGAAAGAATGATAACCAATAAGACTTTCATTCTTGGGGCGCCTGGGTGGCTCAACCGGTTGAGCATCTGCCTTTCCGCTCAGGTCATGATCCCAGGGTCCTGGGATGGAGCCCCACGTTACCGGGCTCCCTGCTCAGAGCAGAGCCTGCTTCTCCCTCTCCCTCTGCCCTTCTCACTGCTTGTGCTCTCTCTGTCAAATAAATAAAATTAAAAAAGAAAAAAAAAAAGACTTTCATTCCTAAAGCCACACTAAGTGAGAGTAGAATTCTGTAGGTCAGGGTTTCTGACATCTCGGGCTGGTTAATTCCTTGTTGTTGGGAGTTGCCTTGTGCACTGTAGGATGTTTTGCAATATCCCTGGCCTATTCCGTCTAGATGCCAGTGCCCCCCACTCCCTAGTTAGGACACCAAAAATGTCTCTAGAAATTGCCAAATGCCCTCTGGGAACCCCTTGTCCCTAAACCAGAACGACAAAGAATAGCAATACAATGTAAAGTTTTGACTATCGAAGAGCTAGTTCCCTTTTTAAAAATGGATGATGGGTGTCAAAATAATTTAATTCTATTGCATACATTTACACAAGAGTGTAAAATGACATTTTATAATGCACTGGAATTACTTACCATTATTTAAACTTATGGGAAGAATTTTAAATGTTAGCTTAAAATCCATTAGCCAAAAGCATTCTGTATTTTATAAGATAGGTGGGTAATGTACATTAACATTCACTTACTGAGCTTTTCTGAAACCCTAATACAGTCCTTTAAAACACTCTTGAGTTTATCTCCTATAGCTCTAAGCCTTTTTCTTCCCTTGAGGAATGTATTAAGTTCTTGAAGACTATCTTTCTTCATAAAAATGTAGAAAACTGAACTGAAAAAAAAATAAGGGCTTTTAAACAAATGTAAAATACTTAGGTACAAAGCCAATATTTTTCAAGATTCAATTTGTATAGACTAGTAACCTTTTCTACTTCCACTCTCCAAATGATGCCTATACAATTCCAAGGATTTGGAGACTGACAACAGTTTAAGAATTCTAAAAATCTTTTCCATACACTTCTTCCTTAATCCTGTTACTACCCACCTAAATAGTGTCTCACTAAGCCCTAATTCTCTCAGCCCAGTTTACTGACAAGAATGCCAATGGAATCATTCATTCTAACCAAAAAATGAAAATGTATGTAGTGCTTTTATTATTTCAAAGCACTATGTGTTTAATTCCACATAAGTTATCTAGTATTAATTGAACTTATCTACAGGACAGGTAGAAAAGATGTTAGAGGTAAGAAAATCCCAATTTAGTAATAACTTGCCTAGTTTGCAATTCAGCAGCATTTAGCAGAGCTGACATTTCCAGACCAATTACACCAAACTCTTTTCTTAGGAAATCCTCATTTGAGATTCTAATCACAACTTCACAACATCTGGAGTTTTGAGGCGCTTGAAGGCAAGTTAAATCAAATTATTGCCAAAGGTGGCAGAACGTCCTCAGTTGTAGCAGCCACGATTCTTAAGTAGTCACTCTGTACAAGGCTTTGAAGACAAATCTTCCAATCTGTATTCAATGTAATATCATTTAAAAATCACTTTAACAGTAAATCTATTATCCAAATGTCCTAAGGTTTTTTTCAAAGTTTGAATTGTTACATCACAAAGGACAAAACAGTAACCTCAACAGGGCTTCTCAAAAGGATGATTCTGTCTTTTACAACCAAATAACTGTTGAGAATCATACAGATAAACTGATTTTGATAATCCAGTATAGATCTTTCTTATTCAGCCCCAGCAGAGCTGATCTATACCGGGTAGTTACTAGGCTCTTCTAAAAACCATTGTTCAATCCCTAAAATTAACTCAGTTAAGACCCAGATAATGAATACCGTTAGCAGGAACCACTTGTTCCTCAAAATAACAACTACTCCTCATTGTAACTATTGTAGCGCTAAAACTAACAAAATGCCTTGTAATTATATATTCGCAGCTATTGCTAAAGAGTCCAGGTCCCCTAAAACTTATACCAACACAGGGCGCTGTAGTTCAAAATTTCCGAAGTTTGTTTTTTGCTTTTTGTTTTTTCTCAGGGTGGAGTAAATCTTAGACAACGTGCCCACGTGTAGCGCCAGGCGGCCACCGGTCCCCAGGGCTACCGCCACAGAACCGCTTCCTGGCCCGCGGGGTCGGCTGGAGCCCGGAATGGGGAGGAGCGGGGGCAGCTGCTGCTCCGCAAGGACCGCGCCGGGACCGCGCCGGGACATTCACTTCGCCGAATACAAGGAGACCGCTGCAGCGGGGCCGGAAAAACCGGCGATGAGCCAAGCAAACCTGCACTTCTTTTTCCTCCTGCCCAGGGAGGGAAACTTAAGATGTCTCCACAGATACGTCAGACGCCACACAGCACGCCTTTCCCACGCTCTGCGCAGGCTCGCCCTAGACCTAGAGACTCCGCCCCGCTCCGCCCCGTGCGCAGGACGGGATGACGTATCCGGCGCAAGACGGACGTTCCCCGCCCATGCTGCGCGCGCCGGCAGGAGGGGAGGAGCTGCAAAAGGCTTCCGCCATTCACTTTCCTTTTTTCCCCTTCAAAGGACCCTTTCCACAACGGCGAGAGACAGGCCCTAGTAAAATTTGACAATCGTAAAAGATGAACTATTACTAAATGTCACTTCGCCACCAGAGCTCGCGAGTATCTCCCTCCTGCGGAAGCTCGCGCTCCGCTCCCACATAGCCGCCCCCGAGACCGCCCCGCCAGCCCGCGCAGGCGCTTTCCGGGCAGCGCCCAGCGCGCGCCCCGCCCCACCCCGTCAGCTCCGCCAGCCACGCCCCCTGGCCGCCCTCCGTCTTCCTGGGAAACCGGCGCGTGGGAAGTGGGGCGAGCGGCTTCAGGGAACGCCGGCACCTTCTCTTTCCCGGCTTCCTACACTGTTGCTACTTTTCGGAGTGAGGTCTGCTACCTTCTCTTCTTCCGTGCGTCCCTCCTTTCCTCCGTAAGGCGCCTGCTCGCTCAGCAGGCGGTCCCCGCCACTCTCGTGCCCGGCTAATCTACTCTTTTTCTAAACCCTCCGGGTGATTCTGATGCATGCTCGAGTGAGAACTACTGGTCTAAGGAATTTAAGGCTTCTCTGCAAATCCAACCCCCTTCTCCCCCACACGCCATCTAGCAGGGGATCTTAGGACGGACGCCACTGGCCACATGACCAAAGGGTGAACACGGAGCAGGGGAGGACCATTGAACCTCCCCTTCTCTCGCTCAGCGTCAGTTGCTGTTGGAGCAAGAGTTTCAAGCAGCAGTTCCCCTCTACAGCACCCCAACATACTACTCTGTCACTAAAATATTAGAGCAGTTTCAAGGTAGCTCTGAAAAGCCTCTCTCCTTCCTCTCATTTTCATATGAATCTGGAGTGAAGTGTGCCATTGCCCACTTTATGCAGAGCACAGGTTGTGTGTGTGACATTACGTCACATGGGTGATGTGATCATTTTTGGGTGTTCGAAGTGAAGGGATTGGGAGCCATTGATCCATAAACAGTGATCCTCCAGCAGGACTTAAGCTCTAGGGCAGCTGCTCACACTTCAATGTGCATGAATCCCCAGGAGACCTCGTAAAAGTACAGATTATGCTTCAGTAAGTCTGGGGTGGGGCAGGAGAGTCTGCCCTGTAACTAAACTCCCAGAGGATACTGATTCAGTTGGTCCATGGATCACATTTGAGAAGCAAGGTATTACAGTACACTCAGTTCCCAGTTTTCCTGGCTTCCAGAAAGATACCTGGGTGGGTATATAGGGTGGCCAACAGTTCCAGTTTGTCTGGGATTGAGGGGGTTGCCAGGATGCAGCACTTTCCTTGCCCAAACCAGGAAGAGTTGGTCATCCGACCCAGGTGCCTGGGTCAGGACTGACATTAGAACAACGCAATTGTTGGCAAATATACTATACTCCCAACTAATCTCTAACTGATCACAGCTCTTTTCGCCAACAGAGCCTAGACTTGGGCTCCTTATGATCATTCTTAACACTGAGTTCCAGCAACCACTACCAATCAATTGACATTGGCAAACAAAACCTATTTCCAACTATTAAAAAGAAAACCACAGGCCCAAAATGGAGCCACTTAGGCCCAGACACCAAATCAGGGCTTAATATCTAACCTCATTGCAGTTTCAACCTCCCCCAGAAATGTAGTCAGGAACTGGTCAGTCAGGAATTTTCCCATCAGCACCAACGAGGCAATCTGTCACTTGGCCTGCTTCATCCCCCAAAGGAAGAGGAGATCATCTGCATGGAAAGATCTCCTGGTCTTCCTCCTAAGGAGAAGTGACCTTGCCTGGAACAATCCTCCCCATAGAAACCTTCCATTTTGTACGCCTCCTCAGAGCTCCCCTCTACTTGCTAGATGGGATGCTGCCCAATTCACAAATCGCTTAATAAAGCCAACCAGATCTTCAAATTGACTCCACTGAATTTTTGTTCTTTAACACAACTGAAGTTGGAACTAGATGTAAAAGAACAGGCTGCATTGCTTATTACTCTCTCCACAGAAATGATAAACACCCTGATGATGGTGATAACTCAGCAAAAATTGGTGTGTATGAAGGGGGGATCATTTTTTACATTTGTGTAGCAGTAATTGTCGGTGGGAATAACCCATTCAGATCACAACGATTAGTTATAAATGCAGCTTAGAATAGTGGAAAATTCATATTTAGGAAAACATAGGTTAGGGTCTGGACAAGTGACATAATTGCCATGAACCTGTCCCATCTGAAGGCCTGATGGGGAAGGACCCACTTCCAAGCTCACTCAAGTGGTTGTTGACAAGATTCACTTCCTTGTTGGCAAAATTCACTTTTTCAAGGGCTGTTGGACTGAGAGCCTCAGGTCGTCACTGGCAGCTCCTTGCCATGTTGGCCTCATTCAGTTTGCTTCATTAAGAGACAGCCCATGAGGTGAGGCAGAGAGTGTGTAAATACTTTGTAAACAATACCAGAAGTGACAGCCAGTCACTTTTGCTGTATTCTATTGGTTAGAAGCATATCACTAGGTCCAGCCCACACTCAAAGGGCAGAGCTTACACAAAGGCATGACTACCAGGAGCTGGAGATCACTGAAGACCTCTTAGAGACCACCTACTGCAGGTATCTCTTAACGGAAATTACCATTTCCCTTCCTGCTTCTAGAAATGAAAGCACAACTTTTCCTCTGTCACACCATTCAAAGAATAAAAAGAAAAGATGAGGGGCGCCTGGGTGGCTCAGTCGTTAAGCATCTGCCTTCAGCTCAGGTCATGATCCCAGGGTCCTGGGATCGAGCCCCACATCGGGCTCCCTGCTCGGTTGGAAGCCTGCTTCTCCCCCTCCGTCTCCCCCTGCTTGTGTTCCTGCTCTCGCTGTGTCTCTCTCTGTCAAATAAATAAATAAAATCTTTAAAAAAAAATGATGTGTACTTTATTTGTCATAGTGCAGTCTCAAGTCAATAAAGTCGTTGGGGGAAAAAAAGGGAGGTTGTCAGGGGGACAACCGTGGAAAAATCATAGTATGTAGTTTCGGAAAAATTTTGTAAGTTGGCCTTTTGTCCATGTTCATGCACAATCCATGAAACCTGGTGTTGGAAGATCTCCTCCTCTTAGTTGTTCCCTAGTCCTCCTGACTTCCCAACTTTGCTAAAACAACTCCTCTGAATGTGTTCCAAGATTAACCCTCTCCAGTTCCAACCATTCTATTTATTGAATAACTTTATTTTATTATTTTTTTAAGATTTTATTTATTTATCTGACAGAGAGAGACACAGCGAGAGAGGGAACACAAGCAGGGGGAGTGGGAGAGGGAGAAGCAGGCTTCCCGCAGAGCAGGGAGCCCGATGCGGGGCTCGATCCCAGGACCCTGGGATCATGACCTGAGCCAAAGGCAGACGCTTAACAACTGAGCCACCCAGGCGCCCCTTATCGAATAACTTTAAATAACTCATGAATAATGCCACATATATGTCAAGAGCCAGCTATGTAGCTTGAGAATTCCTTCCCCCCATGAGTGTAAAATATTTTCATATTATGAATTGTGTCAACCACAATCATTGGCATTGAAAATAGAAGCAGAGCTGGAAAGGATCTTAGCAATTATCTCTTTTCTAGTTCTCAAACTTGACTGCATATTTGGAATCACCAGGGGGGACTTTTTAAAATCCTGATATCCTGGGGCGCCTGGGTGGCTCAGTCAGTTAAGCATCCAACTCTTGATTTCTGCTCGGGTCATGATCTCAGGATCATGAGATCAAGCCCCACATGGGGCTCCCTGCTGGGTGAGGAGCCTACTTAAGATTCTCTCTTTCCCTCTCCCTCTGCCCCTCCCCCCTTCTTGTTCTCTCACTCTCTCTCAAAAAGAAAAGAAAAATCCTGATGTCCAGAGCACACCCCAAAATGGCTGCATTAAAATCTCTGGGGGTAGGACTCAAAAAAATTAGTGTTTTTAAATCTCTGCAGACCTATAACCAAGATTTAGAACCATTGCTCTATTTTAGAAAATAGATGTTCTCGAGGTAGAGTGACTTCCTTAAGATGACATAGCTAAATAGTAGCAGAACCACCAGCACTGTGCTTTCTTTAGAGCTGGTACTAAAGGACTGAATTCTATGCTGGGTATGATCCAAAGCAGTGGTCCCAATCTTGGCTGCCTAATAGAGGCACATGGAAGCCTGTTAAAATATAAATTCCTGCCCCCAACCCCAACAGAGATTCTGATTTAAATTTTTATGAAGCTTGCCAGGGGATTCTAATGTGTAGCTAGGGTTGAGAACTACTACTGTAAAATTTTAGCATATAGCATATGCTATCTTTCTTAACCACAGACCACAAAGTAGGAGGATGTGTCTCCTTCATGTCTAAGGGGCTTTATGAGAATGAAGTCATACCAGTAACTTCTTAATGTCCAGAAGGAAAATGTAGAATAGACACAATATATTAAAACTACCCTAAAATTACAGGAATTCCTCTCTGAAGAATGAGATTACCAACAACATGCTTCATTGTTTAAAGCTTTAATACCAGAAGAAAATACAACATTGATCATGTGAAAATTAATCCAAGGCATAGCATAAGGGAATTTGTGAAACAAATATTATTTTAAATATGAGATGTTCGAAAGTAATGGTAAAAGACAGATATGTTCCTAGGAACCTTGAGTGATTCAGTGTGATGAGGACTTATTAAAGAGTGAGGATGTGGAGACGCCCAGACTGGGGTTCAACCAAGGAAAGGGTATTAGGTATCTATTGCCACATAACAAATTACCCTAAAAATTAGCAGTTTAAGACAACAAACATTTATTACCTTCCAATTTCTGTGGGTAAGGAACTTGGTAGCAACTTAGGGGACTGGTTCTTATTCAGGGACTCTCATGAGATTGAGGTCATGATGTTGGCCGGGCTCCAGGCATCTGAAGGTTTGACTGAGGCTGAAGGATCTGTTTCCAAAAAGGCTTATACAGTGGACAAGTTGATGCTGGCGACTGGTCGGATGCCTTAGTTCCTTGCTAGATGAACTTCTTCAAAGGGCTTCTTGTATGCCCTTACAACATGACAGCTGCCTTTCTCCAGAGTGAGTGATCCAAGAGTGGGCAAGGAGGGAGCCTCATGCCATTTATTTATTTGTTTGTTTATTATTTTAATTCCAGAGTAGTTAACATACAGTGTTGTATTAGTTTCAAGTGTATAATATAGCAATTCAACAGTTCCATATATTTCTCA